CACATTAATCTGGCGTCATTTCTCTGACATCCGGATATCTTCTGTGTACTGCACCATGGGACGAGAGTCAACATGTTCAATAACCGCAGATTATACATCACACAAGCTTGGTGCAACGGATATAGCAGTGTTATGTGGGTTGTGTGTATCTGGGCCGACATTACAGTTCGGTATAGTGAAAAATACGCACGCAACTTAAATGTTCCATCGTATACGACAAACTGCACGATGGAAGAACATGTTACTGTTGCTTTTCCTGTCAACGAAATAAGCACAGCTGATTTGCAGTGCGTGCTTTCACTACCGCCTTCATCAAATGTGTACGTATTGCACACGCAGGAGCATCAAAGCTGTCATACACACATACATGAAACATGAATATCAGGCTCCATAATTCGTCGCACTCATGACATCAGCAGAACAAATTGCATGCAGTACACGCTGGTACCTACCGTGTTCTGCCGCATGTTGTCTAACTAAAATTGGTCAGGCTCCTGTTCGCACGACTGAACTACCAGGGTGTTAGTTTTGCGAAGTAGTGTGACGGGCTCCGAAAATCTTATTGTTAATGGTAGTCAGTTCCACGCGAACGCATACTTGCATAGGAAAATGCTACCACGTATATTGCATTTGGCACTTTTTGGAATGAAGGAGTATGGTTTACTGAGCAGGGGATATCGGTGATCAATGGTCGTTTGAGTGATTGCTGCTTACTGTTTGGAAGCAGCAAGTAGAGGTCAATCTGCGTAGCTGCACCTGATGTCAATTAGGGACAAAGCCCCTTGACGTTGTTGTGCGCTCGATATATTTTATATCGGTGAACTGTTAGTCCAGTCATTTCTTAAATTCCATGGTTATTAGCGTTGGAGATTCTGGGATTTAAAACAAAAATACGTAACTATCATACTGTGGTGTACCCACAAATGGTTCCACTGAAACTGTTTTCACTTTTTACGGAAATTTAGTGTGGAGGGTGCGATAGCCGTTTCGTAAAAGAACGCTGATCCTATTCCACTGCACCTCTGTCCAATTGCTTTGCATTGCATAGCACTATTTAGCAGCATTCTAAATGGGGGCGTGCATAGTGCTTGTAAAGTGTGGCTTTAAAATAAGCCAAGCACATCGTTCTACAGATGCGTCCGATTAATGAACTAGCACTTGCATTGCTGTAGCTCACATGTTCTGTAAAGTGAAGTGACGTTGAGTAGCGTTCTCCCAGTTCTCTTACTGCTGTGTAGTTGCCTATTAGGTTACTATTCAAGGTCAGCACCTTTGGGGATATGTAGCATTTGTGGCACATGCCACCGCATTCTTCTGGCGAAAGTCCCCGCTTCCAGATTTTGCTACAGCTATCCAGTGCGGCGTGGTCACTGTAGGTATCAGTGCGAAATGAATTACCTACCGGTGGACACAAAACCACATAGATACCAGAATGCACGCAGCTGAGGCGCTGCGTCACGCTTAGTGATTGGGTGTACTCAGGTTGCTAGCAGACGTATGCTAAATACGCCTAGTTAAGGAAATCTTGTGCTACGTCTCCAGGACCCTTAAGAGAAAAGCAAGACGAATTCATGAAGAAAAGCATAATTGAGCATTCATGCAAACGGTTACAGGAACACTGAGTCACGCAATGTAATTCAGTGGTCTTGGTTAATTAGAAGTTATCAGCTATGCTTGACAAGGTTTTGCGATGCGGTTAATGGGGCTGGATATTCGATGCTGGCGAAAAGAATAGGCCTTTAAATAAATAAATACTTTTTGCTCAAATACTTCGAGACATACCAAATCTGGCATGATCAAGACTTTCCAAGCGACTGTTTCACAACAGTGACGTTGCTTTGCATGAAATGCGCTGTCCGTATAATCGTTATGGTTGGCAGCATCTAGTTTCGGATTTGTCTGCCACTGCGGCCAGCCACAGGACGCTTGCGCCTGCAGAGGGACCATGGGTGGCCTGCGCTGCACCACCCACAGCTCTAACCACACACCCCATATCCAGTGTAAACCCGAAGGAATAAGACCGGGAGGCATGTGGATGGGAGCCACGTTGCATCAACGGAGCTGGCCCACACTCCTTCACAGGCAAACACGCGCACGCTGTATTTGGGAATCAAGCGCACACACAATGTAGTGGCTGGACGGTAGTCCGCTCCACACTGAGTGCATAGAACCACTCTTCGAGCCTAACACGGCCACAAGAACCGTGCACCCTGTCCCCTCCAGCAACGCCCAACTGTCTCCTGGAGCCAGTATGGAAGAGGCAGTGGGTAATAGACAGGTAGACGACTTGTCAGCATGCACATCAAGCGCAGCCACACCGGGGATATCAAGCAACAGCAAACACTTGAAACGACAAGATGAAATAAAATAAATCCAATAATGCGTACAGATACGGTGACATATCATCATCATCATCATCATCATCATCATCATCATCATCATCATCATCATCATCATCATCATCATCATCATCATCATCATCATCATCATCATCATCATCATCATCATCATCATCATCATCATCATCATCATCATCATCATCATCATCATCATCATCATCATCATCATCATCATCATCATCATCATCATCATCATCATCATCATCATCATCATCATCATCATCATCATCATCATCATCATCATCATCATCATCATCATCATCATCATCATCATCATCATCATCATCATCATCATCATCATCATCATCATCATCATCATCATCATCATCATCATCATCATCATCATCATCATCATCATCATCATCATCATCATCATCATCATCATCATCATCATCATCATCATCATCATCATCATCATCATCATCATCATCATCATCATCATCATCATCATCATCATCATCATCATCATCATCATCATCATCATCATCATCATCATCATCATCATCATCATCATCATCATCATCATCATCATCATCATCATCATCATCATCATCATCATCATCATCATCATCATCATCACCATCATCATCATCATCATCATCATCATCATCATCATCATCATCATCATCATCATCATCATCATCATCATCATCATCATCATCATCATCATCATCATCATCATCATCATCATCATCATCATCATCATCATCATCATCATCATCATCATCATCATCATCATACTTGTGAGCTGGAGGTAGGAAACACCTCAGCTACTGCGCCGCAATATATAAAGGACAAGGAGAATAAATACAACAGTTGCGTCGAGCTGAGGTGCCATCATCCGATAGGCATCGTTCCGGTAAGTTACGAGCCAGGCTACTATGCAATAAGAGTAATTATTAGGTAAAATTATGTTATGCTACGAAATGACATCGTGGTTGAAGGGGAGTCTAAAAGCGATGGGGGGGACAAAGAAAATCACAGGAGGAATGTTACCGAGGTCGACTCCTTGCCATGTCAGCTAATGTATCTAGTCTAACGTGTACATCATCTTTCGGACTCAAATCAGGGAGCCGTGACGCTCCAACCGGTGCCAGCTCAGAAGTGAGGGCCTTCATTGCTCTCGAACAAGTCTTCGCTTGGCCACACCTCCACTTCTTCCATCCACACCCCTGATGAGCAAACAACGCACGTCGAGGAAATCGGTGGGCTGGCATGCGCAACACGTGGCCCAGCCATGGGAGCCTGGTGCATACAATGACGGTGCTGATCGGTTCAGAACCTTCTCCTGGGCCGTAAACAAGGCGTAGAACACGCACGTTACTCACGCGGTGTTCCCACCAGATATGAGCCAAACTGCGAAGGCACCGGTGGTCGAACGTAACTAGCCTCTTCGTGTCCGCCGATCTTAGGGGTCAGGTTTCGCAACCGTACAGTAAGGTCGAACGTACCGCTGCATTGTACACTCTACTCACTAGGGCGAGAGTGATGTCGCGCCGGCGCCATAAGTGGCGAAGGTTAGCAAAAGCACTTCGTGCTTTTGTTATACGGTTCATGATCTCATCCTCAGTCCCAAGGGCGCTGATACAACTTCCCATGTAGTTGAATTTCTGAACGACTTCTAGCAGATCCCCACCAAGGGTCAGCGCAGGAGGCGAGCCCTGCCAATCTTGGAGGAACGCTTTGCACTTCGATGGTGCAAATCATAGCCCGAAGCGGCTGACAGCCAGTGCTAATCTGTCCAGCGCGGCTTGACACGTCTCGGAACTGTCACAGATGAGGGAAATGTCGTCTGCATACTCCAAGTCAAAAAGTCGTTCTCCTGGGAGTAGCTCCACACCTTCCAAGTCATGTCCTGTAAATGCAATCTCCATGATTTCGTCAATTGCGAAGTTGAATAGGAAAGGTGACAGCGGGCATCCTTGTCTCACACCACTGGAAATATTGGAGGTGGCGACAGCTTGCCGTAAGCCCTCACTCTGCCCGTTTTACGCGCGTATAATTCTCGGATAATATTTACATATTTCTCGGGCACACGTTTCCTGAGTAGACAGTTCCAAAGGGCACATCGATCAACCGAATCAAAGGCACCTTTGACGTCGAGGAACACGACTACGGTGGGCCGCCAATATGTGTGACGGTACTCCAACAACTGACTCAAAGTGAAGATGTGGTCAATGCAGCCACGACCTCGACGAAATCCAGGTGCTCTTCACGAATCTGGCTTTCACGAGTGCCAGTCAGTCTGTGAAGAATGATGGAGGCGAGTAATTTGGAGGCGATGGCGATCAGACTGATTCCTCTATGGTTGCTGCTTTCCGAACGCAAGCTTCCTTTGAAGATAGAAGCAATAACGGAGCGGTTCCAATCGGTTGGGATAGTCTCCTGCTCCCACAGTTTCACTAGTAATTCATGTAAATCATCAACAAGAGCCGAGGCCCCGAATTTTATGAGGGCTGGAGGAAGATCATCTGGTCCCGCGGCTTTGTTCAACTTCAACAGTCCGATCTCACGTTTGACTTCTAAGCGAGAGGGTGGATCCAATGAGGCTGGACCTTACCGTCGTGCAATGGTTTGTGTGCCTCAGTGATCCATTGAGCTATGCTGGATAGTGCTTTTGCACCTTCAGAGCCAATCATACCAGATTGGTCAATGGTTAGAGGCCAGACAAACTCAGCCTCCTGGTCCTCCAGGTTGGGGGTTGGAATGAGGGTGGCTCCTTATTCCTGAAAACGGATCCCTTGTAGCCCGACGCCAAACCCGCTGCCTTGCGGACAGGTTTTTGAACCAAAGGCTTTGGTTGAGAACCCTAATCGTTCTCCTGTCTAGGTCTGAGCAACCTGACAGTATTCTGCCCACGCAATACAATGAATCTATCTTCAAACAAATTTCTGATGTTCTAGCCACCGCAGAGAATAATCAACGGTGCCTATCTGCTTCTTCGACCAGGGTGGATAGGAGTATGGCTGCTACTGCTCAATAATTCCCATCTTATTATTCCCCCTATTACGCTTTCTCACTTTTACCGTCTCGCACCTGCTTCACTTTTATCCCCCCAGTTTTCAATCCACAGATTCTTGGCCGTACCCCAACATGCTTTGCTAGGCTTTTACCTTCTAATTTCAACTCCCATGTGAACGCGGAGCGTCACTCCTCTCCTCTCGACAAGCCCATGTCCAACCAAGCGGCCAAGCCCAGTTCATCGACTTCCATTTGGAGTCCTCGATCCTCCTTCAGAATGGCATGCCTCAATGTACGCGCATTGCTACAGATCGGTAAACAGGCAGCACTTGCCCGAATATTAGAGATCCTCTCGATCGATATCCGCTGCTTATCGAAGACCCGCCTGCAACACTCGAACTCTGTGCTCACACTGTGATCTCCTTTAGGTGACACCAGTGGCCCTTACTCATTGCGCCTACCCAGTGACGATGCAGCTTCGAGCACCGGCCAAGCTGGTGTTGTATTGCCCTTGTCCACGGGCTGAAGCTGCTCTGGTTGACTGGATTTCAAGCAGTAGCCGTTTGGGTGCGGTCCGATTGGCTGGCTCGTTCAAAGCTTCGAAGTCGCGTGGGACTAACACGTGTCTATTCGTCATCGCTGTCTATACACCCACAAACTCTAGAGATGATTCGGTAAAGAACGACTTCTACCGCCAACTAATCCAGCTCTTTCGCCACAGAAGAAGCACGGACACTGTTGTGCTGGCTGGGGATCTGAACTCACAAGTTGGAAAGTTGTCCACTGATGAAATGCATCTGGGCGGTCACAACGGTGTAGACTCCCGTAATGATAACGGTGAGCCGTTACCTCCTTTGTGTAAGGATGCTCGATTATTTCTTGCGAACACTAACTTCCGACACAGCACTCGCCGAAGGGTGACTTGGGGCCCACCAGCCCCGTACCAGCCTTGGACACAGATCAATCACATTGCCATAAGTTATCGATGGAGAGGCTGCGTCCAGAACTGTCGTTCGATTTGGAGTACAGGTGTGGACACCGGCCATGCACTTGTATGTGCTGACATGCGGATGCGTTTTGGTGGACGACCACGACGTCGCTGTGAGCGCATTGACACCAGCCAACTGACAAAACCAGCTGTTCTGAATGCCTATCAAAGGACGCTGTCATGCGAGTTGAGTAAGCGGTCACTGGAGACAACTGAAGGGCACTAGTCACCTGTTCACCAGACCTCACTAGCAGCAGGCAAATCCTCAGATGGTAAGTCTACTAGGCAACATGGACATTGGGTCTCTTCGCGGTCTATGGAACTTATCGATGCTCGCTGGCATATCCCAGCTGGAAGCGAACACAATGAAACTCGCAAAGAACTCCGGGCAAGACTCCGTGCTAGCCCGAAGAGAGACCGCGAATCTTGGTGGTCTCTTCGTGCGTCAGAAATGGAAGTGGCCGCTTCCCTTGATAACCAACGTAAGTTATATCGTCTGATACCGGAAATGGGCAGCAACAGACCTGGTGTTAGTGAAACTATACGTGACGATAGTGGACAGCCTATCCATAATTTCTCAAAACGTTTGGAGCGTTGGGCTGAGCATTTGGAAAAGCAAGTTAATCGGCAAGAATTGTTCGATTCTTCGCCGACCAGTTATCACCCTGCTCTGTGGGCAGTCCCTTTGGATGCACAATTTGTATATGGTTGGCGGAATCCGGTTTCGGATTTGTCTGCCACTGCGGCCAGCCACAGGACGCTTGCGCCTGCAGAGGGACCATGGGTGGCCTGCGCTGCACCACCCACAGCTCCAACCACACACCCCATATCCAGTGTAAACCCGAAGGAATAAGACCGGGAGGCATGTGGATGGGAGCCACGTTGCATCAACGGAGCTGGCCCACACTCCTTCACAGGCAAACACGCGCACGCTGTATTTGGGAATCAAGCGCACACACAATGTAGTGGCTGGACGGTAGTCCGCTCCACACTGAGTGCATAGAACCACTCTTCGAGCCTAACACGGCCACAAGAACCGTGCACCCTGTCCCCTCCAGCAACGCCCAACTGTCTCCTGGAGCCAGTATGGAAGAGGCAGTGGGTAATAGACAGGTAGACGACTTGTCAGCATGCACATCAAGCGCAGCCACACCGGGGATATCAAGCAACATCCAATCACTTGTGAGAAAGATAACAAAGAAAATAAGTCAAGTAATGTATAAGGAAATGTGAGCTTATGAAATAAGTTGTTAACAAAGGATCCGAGATAAGTTCACGAAGTCAGAAAGTATATTTTACGGAAATGACACAAACACGAAGATGTTATCGAAATTAACTACAGTTGGATTAAGCGAGGTTTGCAAGTTTATAGAAGTGCATACAGGTATACATTTATATGAGAAAGAAAAGCATTGAGACCAAATTGCACACCCACCACTTGAAATAAAGAAACTTTGCGTGCAAGCACGCGGTTAGTAAATCGAATGCAGTTTACCTACAAACGCTGCGCCGGTTCTGCCTACGTTCTCTGCAGGACCCGTCGTCGCTTCGGTAGTGGCCCCGAGTGGCCTCGCTCATGGCTCACTAGGACTGCCTAACTAAAGCACTCGCGACCGCATGTGCTACAGCACCATGCGCTCAATGTCGATGGAGTACAACCCATCGGTGCTTGCCGCTTCCGCACTTGCCGCCTCTTCTCTGCATATATGAGGTCATTCTCTCGCACAATCTCTCTCTCTCTCTCTCTCTCTCTCTATATATATATATATATATATATATATATATATATATATATATAT